AGCGTGATAAATGTAAGGGGTCGAACGCTTTCAGTTTCCTATTCAGACCCCTTAGTACCAACTGAACACTGTTTAAACAGCACAGGCTGAGTATTGTTGATGACTGTCGCCAGGAAGTCACGTCACAAAGCTCAAATTTTATTGCTTTCTTTAACCTTTATTTAACCAGGTTACTCCCACCAGGAGCCAAGATCTTTTTTTTCTTTAAAAACAAAGGAGACATGGCCAAGAGGGCAGCAAACAGATTGAATTAGCAACATTAAACTTTTTCTTCACCGGGAAACATACGTAACCTGATGTGTAGCTCTGGAGAAATGTAGCTACATGTCAGGTTGGCCTGTAAAAGGTTGTAATTCATTTCTTATGTTGGACTACTTACTACTATATATGTGAGCAAAACTTTGTCCTTATAAAAATTGTTGGAAATTATTAACTGCATCTCCTGACATAATACCCAGCTGTTTCGGGGGGTTAACCACACACAGAGGACATTAGGTCACACTAAAGGGCAGAAATGTACACTCTTGTTTCTCTTCAGATCGTATAAATCTTTCGCCTTTTACTAAAGATTTTCGTGGAGAGGAACAATAAGAGTTTCGCCCAATTTTTTTTTTCTATACTGTGTATTGTGTATTTTGTTGTACAGTTATTTTATTTTCAACTTTAATTTATATTTTATCTTATTTTATTCCTTCCTAGTTAAATTTACCCCTTTTTAATTTTCATATTTATTTCCTATCTTATTCATAGCCTTTTCTTTTTTTCTTTAGGTCATGAGCAGTTGTCTAAGCATTTCACTGCATATCGTACTGTGTATGACTGTGTATGTGACAAATAAAATTTGAATTTGAAATGTCATTGTATGAAAAGAATCAGAATATCTGAAATATGTAAAACTTTAAGATATGTTGTAAATATTTTTTTAAGGTGTGTTTTGTGGCAAAAAGCTATTTCAGTTTCAAAAAGAACAGATTCTTTGTGAAGTGTGACTTTCATAAAATTTAATGTGTTATCAGTATTTCAATTTTTTTTTTTTTTTTTTTTTTTTAAATTGACATAACATTCATGGATTTTATTTAATCTAAAAACATTTTTATAACTTCAGCTTTCCATTTATGAAGCTTATTTAAAAAAAGAAAAGTTTCAGTAACATCAATGTTATCAATTACCAGTGCGATTCATTAAAATTTAGTCACTTAAATTTATACATCCAGATTATAACAACCCATGCTGTTATAGTGACTCAATTCATTATATAATATATTTTTGCAATTGTAATTTTTATTACTAGCACTACTCCAGTGCTGAAGACTACTGAAGAATCTCCATGAACAGCTTCTGTCATTTGCACATCTGTCCTCAGATTAGTTACTGTAATAGATTCAAAAGATCAAACTGGCACTAATGCCAAAAACTGCTTTCCACAGGTGATCTTTAAAGAATCTTTTTTATTAAATAAGTACAAACAAGGTGTTACTGCACAGAGTTGTTTCCTAATAAATACCAGTATGACACTAATGAAGTGTTCAAGGTGTAAAGATCTCTGTTGGAACAAAAACATAAACGCGTGAGCATGAGCAACAGGAACACTACTTTGCATGTAAAACCAGCGTGTTATGTAACAAGGAGACAGTACAGTGGTGGAGGTCTTTCCTATAAGCTTGGCACTCTGGTGGTTTGATGATTAAGGAGCCCCAAACCACATATAAGCCCAAGACATCCACATCCTATTTTTAAACATGAGAGAGGGGGGAGAAGAGACTTGCTTTTAGATAAACAATTTACATTTGCTTACAAGGAGGGGAGAAATACATTTATACACTGTTGTGCACATCAAAAGGCGTAAAAGCTTTTTTGCCATCTTGGTAGTTTTCATTTTCAGAAAAAAAGGGAAAAAAAACAAACAAACCCTGAAGTTAATTTCAATTCATGTCTTCCGCTGATTGAACTGTTACACTTTGATACAAAAGTTAGTTATGTGTACAATAAAGCAACTCTTGCAGGATGCCTTCATGAACACAAAACCAAAAGGCAACATTTGGGACTGGTCTGCTTTCTGAATTCAGTCATGAAGACTCAGCATAGTGTGTGAAGGAGATGTTCTGGTATGTACTGAGGTTTTCAGGAATGTGCGTGTCTGTATCAGTGCATCAGCTAAGGATCTGTGTGCTGGAGTGCATGGGAGTCACGCAGCATTTAAGGTAAATATGTGGTCAGTGGTTTTGGCTGGAGGGCGGCTCACAGCTAGACTCGGCTGTGGCCTCGGCCTCGTGATGCATCTGGCTAAGATGTTTGACCAGGCTCTCCAGCTGAGGGTTTCCCCCAAACTCCCTAATGAGCCGGTAGGCCTCCATCTCCAGTTCCCGCAGAGTCTGGCGGGTGTAAGCAAATGAGCCCACCTTTTCCAGGTAGTCCACGCAGTATCGTTTGATGTCCATGTTCTCCGTGCGCTGCCTCAGGATGTTCTGCACCTGAGTGCTCTCCGGACGTGACCATATGGCATGAATGGTGGGGAAGGAGAACTTGCCCTCGGTCAGGTCCTCGCAGAAACTCTTGTTCTCGCTGTACTCGCGGGAACTCAAGTTGGCGTAATCGTCACGGATCTGGAAAAAAAGGCCCAGTGTGTCCAAGAGGGGTTTCAGGTCCTGCTTCCAGTCTGAGAAGAGCTGCATCAGGCCTACAGCGAGGCCAAACAGCCCTCCTGTCTTCTGCAGCACCATTTTGCGGTACTCCTGCTCGGTGGGACAGGTGTAGGTGTCTCTCCAGTGGATGTCGAGGCCCTGACCGCGATGCAACTCAAGAAGCTGACGGGTAAACACTCGCACCGCCTCAGGGTGCTCCAGGATCAGCACCTTCTCCAACCCCAGGAAGTACACGTAGTTGGCCGAGTTGATAACAGAAGGAACGCCATAGATGCTGTGTGCCACAGGGAAGCCTCGACGCAGCTTGGAGCTATCCTCAATGTCATCTATCAGCAGGCTGGCATTGTGTAGCATCTCAGTCACCTCAATGATCACCTGGACATAAGAACAAGTGTGTTTGTGTTAATTCATATAAAAATGTATCTGGAAGTAAAATATCTTTTTCTTGTACAGTTGTTAATGTTTCATCTTTACAAGAGCTTCTAGTGCAGAGGAAATATTTTTAAAGAAACAAACAGTCTCTCCTCCAGCTCAAACAGACTCCAACAGGTTGTCAGAGGCTGTGTAAATTATGCATTACAACTTGTATACAGCAGAGGGTGCCATGTCTACACTCTTGTCTGCACTGCTCCACAAGTCAAAGTCTTCATCAGTAAACAAAACAGTTGTTGCTGAAACAAGCTAAGCAGTCAGTCTGAGCATGAAGAGCTCAGCAAAGATGCACTCTGGCCCGCAGCAGACTCACACTGTGACGGAGAAGCTGTCAGGAGAGACACAGAGCTTTGACGAGGTTATAGGAAATGCATGGTTGAGCAATTAGAGGCGTCACTGCGGGGCTTGGTGCACTTTAACCTTCTCCACAGAGACAATGAGGAAGGCTGAATGCTTAACCTTAGTCATTACGATGAGTGTACTGACAAGCTTTTTAATACAATATGACCTACCAGCCTCAACATCCAGAGCACTGCTGTGGTGAGTCAAGGGCACTGTGGATATATTCTATCCTGATCTTCACCACTATGTGGCAGCACACATGTACCACATACTGTTTATGCTGTGCTTCACGAACCAATGCCAAATAATAGTATTCATTTATCAGTGGAAAACCGAGCCCCACACATACACACACACACACCCCGTTAACCCAAAAACGGCCCACGTCGACTCACAACAGTCACAGTGGCCATCAGGTGTCTGCTGTCCTGAGCTGGCCTTACAGCCTGCTCGAGTGCCCTGCTGATTTAAAAGACAAGTGGGGTGGCCTGGTAATGAAAGCTGTTTGTATGAGGCCTGAGAGCACAAAGAGTGACTCAGTGGGTCAGGCAGATGGCCAAGGCTAGGCCAGTTGAGCAGTTTATCAGCCAAACACAACCTTTCCTTCGGCAGGGTCCCAAACACTTGCTCACCCTGAAACCTCAGTGAGCCACTTACAAAGCAGGGGACGTGGGTAAAGCTAAAATAAATGCATGCATGAACATGAAAATTTATTTTTAGATGAAAAAAAACAAAACAAAACAACACAACAACAACAAAAACAAATACATTCTGAAGTATTTAAAAAGGTTCACTGCAAATTACAATGCACCATCAGGGGGGGGGAAGAAACAATGGCTCAATCAACTTGAAATTCAGCTAGAGCGCTTCAGATAACAGCAGCAGTCATCAAACCCGAACACGAGCACAAACAATTTTCAGGTTTTCAAGTGTCTCCATTCTCCAAGGAATTTAATCAGTCAGGCTGTCACTGCATACACTGCATAATGCTGTTTGAGCCCCGAGTGCCACTACTCCGCAAGTCTATATTGATTATCACAAGAGGTTAGTGACGCAGAAACTCAGTTTGCTAAAGCTATAATCAGTAATCTATTAAAAATGCAGAGACACATTCACAAAAAACAAGCATACCGAGTCTGTCATGATGACAAGAGGTAAATGAAAACAACAAGCCAGTTATGTTCTGCCATAAAACCGTCACACTTGGCGAGATTACAGCAGGTGATCACATTTATACCTGAAGCAGGCTGCAGCACTGGTCACTCACACCATGCCTACTGGATTGTGTCATTCACAAAAATAGCTTCATTCATCCATTGTAGTGTTTTAGTGTCCAAATGATTTATGGATTTATAGATATTCTGCCAATGTTGAAAATTCATTTAAAAATAAATAATCACGTTAGTATTTATGCCGAGTTCCCATATTTTGCTTTCGCACGCTCTTGTTTTAATAAGAGCAAACAGAAGCGTATCATTTTTAAGCAGTGCAGTGAAGCCAGAGAAATTTCAACTATGTGGATAAGTGAGCTCTGAACTAATTAAATAACTACTGTGAGAGAAATCCTGTAATACAGGTTTATTACAAATAGTTATCCACATTTCTAACCTGACACCTCTTCCGGGCACACAGCGATAGTGATGTTAGTCACTGTAGCAATAAATGTGAGGACTAGGTAACAAATAGTGAGCCCATAAATAGCTGCTTAAACCAACGCTGGTTAACTGGTTGGGGTCAATACGTGAAGTCAAGGTGAAGATGGCAGAAATGGTTTGTACTACAACCAGTGTCTCTGGTAATAACTAGATCAGAGTTATGACGTTAGAAAATGTGAACCCTATACACAGAAAAAAAATTAAGTTTTAATGTTGTATTTTTAGCTATTATGTGGGTCATGTCCTACATCTGTCCCCTGGCACCGCATCCCCCTTTTGCTGAACATCAATAGTGGTGGCTAACATGAACACACACACATGAATGACTAGTCCTCCGCTATGGAATCCAAGTCAAAACAAAAAGTCAGAGGTAAACAGGATTTAACAGTGTGTGAACAGATTTGTTTGCTTTCACTGCCAATGCTGCTGGCTTGCTGGTATTCTGGATCTGAGGATTGAGTCAAAGCGACCTGCATAGGCTTTATAGCTACCGTTTCAAAGCAGGCCTCAACATGCTAAAATCCCCCCCCCGTGTTTCACAACTGTTCTGTTAGTTAAATAAATAAATCAGTAATAACCTACTGCAGAGCAGACATGTG